TAGGGGAGGAAGAGGAGAGAAGGAGGTGATATTTTTAAAAATGGAAGAATAAAAGGGAAGGCACTGGGGAGGTGGTGGATGAAGTATACCTAAGCCTTTCTATTGGATGTTATCATATCTTCCTACTTCCTGCTGTTACTTTTTATTAAACGTTTACACTGGTTATTTGTGAGTGTCCATTAAAACTTGCAAAAAGCTTTTACTTAAACTGTGATGGTAGCTATCTCTGCCGCCACGCCCATCATTGGACAATAAAATGCATTTCAAGGAAAACAAGAGTCCCTTTGGTCACATTGATGAATGCAACAGGTTGTTGAAGGAGAGAGCTCTCCACCCATAGCAGCTTTTTCTCTCTTCAGAAGTTAAGAGTTTTAAAGGATGATATTTTTGCCAATATTTGCATTTGTGATTCCAGATATAATCCAGGAACATGTACTATAATGGAATTAGATTATCTTTCCTCTCATCCCATGCCTTCACCCTCAAAAAAAAAAAAAAATCTTGCATGTGTTTATGGACATGTTTATGTTACCCAAGTGTTAATAACCCTGTTGGAGACACAACATAGATAGGCATCTTTAGGTAGATCTGTATATAAATTCCTCTCCACTGGGCACTTGAGTCAGCCAAAAACAACAATAAGTATCAATGATGTCTTTCAAATCTTTCAACAGAGTACATAAGCATTGTTTTGTTTTTTCTTCTTCTAGTGCCAGATGAGTTTAATGATTTGAGGAAGCAAGAGGAGAGGGTTAAAGTTTTGAAAGAATATTTTTAAATCTATTTTATTGATTTTTTACAGAGAGGAATGGAGAGAGACAGAGAGTTAGAAACATCAATGAGAGAGAAACATCGATCAGCTGCCTCCTGCACTCTCCCTACTGGGGATGTGCCCGCAACCAAGGTTCATGCCCTTGGCCGGAATCGAACCTGGGACCCTTGAGTCTGCAGGCCGAAGCTCTATCCACTGAGCCAAATTGGTCAGGGCATGAAAGAATATTTTTTAAATTTCATATCTTAGCATGCTAAATATATTGTTATAAAATAAATACAGGTAAGCATTACATTTATATATTTTTCTGCTTGAGAATTAATACATTGTTTTAAAATATATCTAAGTATTTGACTCTAAGCCAACTGGTCAAGTCAGTTGAAAACCATTAATAAACCCAAAGTTCTTCTTTATCAGAAAAATACATTGAAACTAGGAATGATATAAATGTAAATTTCCTGTATTGGCTGTTTTTTGTAATTCCTCTAAAATATCTATAACATTGTCATGTTTATTATACTATCACCATGCAATCCAATATCAATTTCTAACTAAAAGATCTGAGAAATGCTCTACATGTTTATGTTTATATAAACAGAAGAGACACGTAAATATTACAAGAAAATTACCAAGTAACTCCTTTTATCTGCATAGGTATTTGATACATAACCCTTAACATTTTTGATAAAGAGATGGCTAAAAAAGAACAAATTTACCATAAACACAGTTTTGTTTCTAACAAAGTCCTGTAGCGTTGACTAGGAAAAAAAAATTCACTGATATTCAATAGTTTCCAGGACAAATCAGAGAAGTCTACCTGTAAAAGCTAGATACTGTGAGACTGACTAAAGTTGGCCTAGGAATAATGCATAGAATAGAGTGGAAAGCTTCTCTTCACACAATTACTATATAACATTTGTTTCTTAAAAATAAACAAATCACTACAATAATTTAAAGGTCAAAATAATGTGTTGAGTTTCATAGTTAGTTGTTTATATTGATCTTCACAAAATTTCTTCACATTTTATTTTTTTCATTTGGTAAACTCTAAATTGTTTTTCACTTATGGACAAAAAAATTATTCTCATCTGACATTTTTTAAAATAGATATTTTGTTAAATATGATTCAGAGTTTGAAATAAGTTTAATTGTTCTTGATGAGCAAAACTTATGTTGGGAAAAAATGTCTTCCTGAATGACAAGATAATTGTAGAAAATCTATTATTTGACTTGAAATGACACAGGCAAGCATTCATAAAAAGGATGTTACTAGATCCTTTTTATATAATTTATCTTATTATGGGAAATGTCAACAGATTCTTTTCACATATTTAAATATCCAGGTGACTTCCTCAATACAAATCCCTTGCCTATTGTTAATTTGGTCATTTGCCCTTAGTCCCTACAATATACATATATTTTAGGATACTAAAATATAAAATAAAATTCTCTTGAGTCTTATAAGAACATGAAACAAGTTGCAGATATTTGCTAATGAATGGTACATAAGGACACTCAAATTCTCAGTGCAGTTAACAATGATATTACAGTGTCACCTTTTCTAAGTACACTTTGACCTATTTTATCATGAAAGAAATACAGAAAACCTTTTTACTAAGTAATGATAGGTTGCAACTTTTGGATATATTAGAAGGCATGGTCTGGGGATAATAAAATGAAATTGTGGTTCAATTTTCCTTAGAGACTAGTAGGAAAATTTAGTATCAGAATTAATTTATCAGTAATTTAATGTGAGAATTTTAGTTTGGAATATTAAATTTAAAAAGATCAATATGGTTTATTATTGAAGATAAATCATTACTCAGCAGTTCAAGCATGATAAAAAATAAATAAAAATTTTCTGAAGTTTATATCCAATTATTTCTCTAGGGTAAAATGAATAATTATTTTTCATGGTGTATTTAATGAACTAGTTATTATAATCCAAACAATATAACCAAAATTTCATTGATTTAAAAATATAATCATTCTTAAATGATCAAAATGGTTCTAGAAGTCATTGAATAAAACTATTTATTATTGGTTTTGGTTGTCTTATTCTACGTAGATTTATAAAAAGTAATGGCATATAGGTTCAAAATCATACATAATTCCTTTCTAAAACACAGATACACTTCTTTTGTGAATGATCAAAATATTCAAATATAATAAAATATTTTATAAGAACAGATTTATGACTGGGCTATTGCTTTTTAAAGTATATAATATAACACACTCTACCGTAACAGACTTTAGATGACCTAAACTGATATTTTCAGTGATTTATTTTGTGAATAGGTAAATCATGCTAGATTGACATTTTTCTATTAAAATAGTAAAAGTAATTTAAATTCTTGAATAATGCTTTAGAAATTGCTACAAAGTAAAAATATATCATGAGCCACATTTGCATGCCACTTAAAGAAGGAAAAGCAATCAAATAAATTTAGAACTAAGCTATATTTTAATGGCTTGAACGTTTCAAATAAAACCTGTTAATTATATGTCAAAGCAAAGGTGTCCAGGACACCTGATTAGAGCAACCAATGATGACTTACTAAAACTTAATAATGAGAGCTTTGTCTCTGGTAACATGAAACATATGATTTATTATGCACCTTATCCTTCATGCTAGCACTGCTGAGAGCAAATGAGCAGAGCACATTAAGCAACATCTATTATAAAAATATCATGTGCTACTAGGAGCTGCTGCTATCCGACTTTTCAAAGAATATTTTTGAGATATATGAGGAAGTTTTTAATTAAGTGTATGATCAATATGTCAATTTTAAGTCAAAGCAGATTGCATATTTAAAACACTTTTAAAAGTTCTTACATTAAAATGTTCTCAAGTCTTTCAAATTGATTAAACTTGTTAATGCAATTTTTAGCCTTCAAAAATAAACATATTCTATCTTTTTTTTATCTTGACTGTCTGAAGATAATAAATTTTCACCTTCGGTATCTATTAATATTTTAGCACTTGTAAAATCCTTTTAAATTGGGAAACTTTAATATTATTGCAAGATGAACTATAAGGCATTAATTTACCATTTGATAGTGCCAATCTTTTAAAACTGCCTTGAAAGTATCAACATTGAGTGAAACATAATTTTAAAAAGTATTATATAATAATGTTACTAATTAAAGAATTTCAATTATTTTTTATCTCAAATAAAAAGAAATTCTGTATAGGAAAAGACCATGCTGGCATGATTTACATTTCCCTTGCTTCTGAAAATAATCAAATAGTTATTATATATTTTAATCATTCCAGTTAAAAATGTTAGATTAAAACTTTGTTTCTAAACTATTTTTCAGAGAACTTCAGTATCAATTTCTGAAGCTATCTGATAGTCTTCTTTTACAATATTATTTGATCTTGGTTACTTTCATATCAATATTTTCGCAGTAGTTGCCTCCCCTGAATGAGAGATTCTGAGTAGCATATAAATATACACTTATCTGTTTCCTAAATTACTCACAAAAATATAGCTCAATATGTCACTTTTACTTTTCTGTCTGTAAATGCTTTTGAAAAATATGTTTATTATTATTTTTTGCTCATATAGTTATTATGTATTATAACTATCCTCGTAAATCTCCTTTCTTTAGACTATTGCCTGTTTACTCATACATTTATACATTAAGTAAGGTTGATATTTTAACTAGCTCTGAAAGGACCTAAATCTACCCCAACGATATTTGTTTAATTTTAGCTTTTTATATTAAAAACAAAATACATATATGACTTCATTGCCTAAGGCAAAACCTTACCTTGCATCAATGAAAGAAAGGAAACAGAAGCTGGAGAGGAGAGTTATAGAAAATGACTTTATGTAAACATGACCACCTACCAGGCAGCTACTTTACCATTAGAAAAACTTCCACTTTGTAATAACAGAGATTAACAAATAAACGAACAACATACCTAAGTTGACAAAGCTCATGACCATGTCAGCATCATTCAGAAAGTTGGTATCATGTAGGCTGGCTAGAGGAGGACTCTGGGTGGTCAGAGGAGTCGTTCGAGATAACTGAATGCGACGAGGATACCCATTGGGAGAGGCTGGGTATCCCTTTCTTGCTCCTCTGCCCTCTCCTGCCAGGGATGCCCTCACTGAGTATTCCGACTCCTCAGGATTTTCTTCATTGGCCATCGCATTGTATAGGTCCAGCATGAAGAGAGGTGCAGAAGAAGCTTGCTTTCCAGGTGAAAATGGTCTGGGTCTGTGAGGCAAACCCAAGATAGAGAGAATTTCCCTCTGTATTTCCCGTCTTTCATGGTTCCGTAGTCTTCTATAAATAAAACTGGAGTGAACATGATTGTCTCCCAAACCTCCTTTTGCATAACCCAGTAAAACCCAGCAGCTCCAGAGGAAACCCACAATACCCCTAAATAAAAATACACTCAGATGCATTTTTGTCCAAAAGCAAAGTTGATGTTTTTAGTCCTGCTGGTCCTCTTAAAAAAAAAATCTAAGTTTCAAGGAGGTACAATTCCCCAGTAGCAGAAAAAACAAATTTACCTATTCTTCATGACAGTGACATTTCTGTACCCAATATCCTCACTGATTTTCCTGCCCTATTTTAAATATTTTGGAATATGTCAAGAGTAGTTATTTCTAAGAAAACTGAAACTCAAGTTTCCAATTATCCACAGTTGTTAAGAGTTTTTGCTGCATTGATGTAGCTGAAGACGGCTAATATTATTTGATCAGATGACCTAGGCATTCCTATATGAATTTATGATAATCAGGCCTTTGGTATTTGAATTAACGAAAGTTGATCTTCTGATAAACTGTAGCTCCCAAAGTTATCTTCACTTGCTCTTGAGTTCTTCTCAACCCTGAAGCTCTTTCCAAGACAAATCCTGATTTCTGCATCACAGATCTATGCTGCTCTGCACCTTGGTGTTGGAATATCTATTTGTCCGGCAGCTTGGTGATAACTTTAACATCTTTTGTGTCGTCCTAGTGTAAAATACGACTCAAGGTTGTACTATTCAAGTAAATGTGTTTCCCTGTATTTACTTGAAAACCTTCCTCTACTTCCATTCACTCCCTTTCTCCTTCTTACAGTTAATTCCACCTCCAGCAGGCACAAATATACCAGCCCTCTTCAAGGGAGATCTAAAGAGTAGTGTAAGCACAACCCTGCTGGGAGAGAAGAGGCTTCTCATTGTAATTTGAAACTGGTAAAGCAAAAAGAACTTAACCCTTTTGCTACCAGAAAAGCCTCCATTTTCGCAATTTTATAGCCATGTATCTGACACAGAACAGTGGTGAATGGGGCATATAAATTCGAGGGGGGGAAAAAGCCAATTTTCAAGCAGCAGATTGAAAATTTTGCCACCAATTTTATGTAGTACTCTTTTAGATCTTTCTTTTAATAGTACACATTTCATACACTTCTACGTGAAGTCTCAGGTTGTGGCTAAATGAACATGATACGTTTCAGTTCTGTATTTGAGTTTATTTCTGGTTTTTACAAGTTATGAAAGTTCACTTCTTACAAAATAAAAGGAGGAGTTGTCAATTGAGGTTAATTTGTTGTTTCTTAATTACAGCCAGATCTTTCACAGTAGAGAGTTAATCACTGGTAATTATATTTTAGATATCAAAGTCGTAGCTACAATAATTCAATAATGGTAATTAGGTAGCCCAGCTTTAGTGGTATTTAAATACCAAAATTCTAAGCAGAAAAGCATATTCATATTTCTCTCATTAAGTAAGTGTGGTTGAAATACAAACACCCTAAAGATGTAGTTCATGATTCTTAACTTTTAAGTCCTTTTAGCTGAAATGCAAACCGACTTACAAATTAGGTACTTCCCATTAATTGTGCTCAGCACTTGGATTGGTTTTAACCCATGCAAATAGACACAAGTCAAATATTGTTCATGACCACATGCAGATTGAAATTTGCCTGTTTAAAAGTTGATGGGTATAATGGGGAAAGTGCACACTTTTCTAAAATACCATGCTTAATCCGAGGAAATGAGCAAAGTACGTGTTTATCCTTAATGTTTAATGCCTTTAAAAATTGGAAGTCTCAATGTTTTTGTGAAGCTATAATTTTCCTTACAAGCTCTCCCTTAACTTTAGGCTCACAGTACGTTCATTGTCTGGAGTAGTATTCTGATAGCAGTGTTGATTTATCTAGCAAATTCTAGAATGATTATGAAATTTTAATGTTTTTCCTTTACTCTGCCTAGAAGCACTGCTTTCTTGTTTAATGTATTTTAAAATATTTCCCCTGAGTGTCTAAATCAAAGCCATATTTCTCACAAGTCCTCATTTTATTGGTAAAGGCAAGCTACTGAAAAGGTTTGCAGGATCTGATTGTATATGTCTCTTTTTTTCTTACACAAACTCACGGCACTAAAATTTGATGATGCTATTTAATATTTGCCTTACCGAAAATTCTTTGTTAATAGCCATGTGTAGTAGTAGCGCCCAATGTTGGCATACATAGAACACCACTGCAAAACGGATATCACATGAATAGCAGGACATTTTGGAAGTAAAGGAAGAAATACCATTTCAATAAGAAATGTCTTAAACCACTAAAATTCTTGAAATTGTATATTCCATATCCAAACCAAATGAAGAATTTTTTTGGTCACTGGTGCAAATTCAAAGCAAGCACTTTGAGACAAAAAGTTACCCTCGGCATTTATAAAAACACACCCCAAATAAAGTATATGACAGTTTTCTTCTACATTCTGTAACAAGCTACCCAGGTAATGAATTTGCTTCCTGTTTCTAGAACACAGCATAGAGCTACAAGTAGAAACTGGCCACTAGAGGAAGGGACAACTAAAATCCTCCACGCGTGCTTCTTTTTTCCTTAAGATACAAGTGAAAAATAAGAATGAGCCTAGGCATCACGAGTCTCAAAAACTCATTTTCCCAAAGCATGATTTATAATATCAACTACTGTAATTGTAATTTAATTGCTTAACCAGGCACATAGCCTACCTCTATATTGGAAATCAATTGTTAATAATCTTGGTCAGAATTTTTAGTATCCACCCAACCCCTACCTTCTCTTTCAACTCAGACCAGACTTGGCAAACATTCATTTTTCAAAAGGATCAACATGTGCAACGAGAGAAAGAAAATAAAGACGACAAAAACCTGCCAGGAACAAAGAGGAAATGCTAACCACCAAACAAAAAGTCCGATTCATTTTCAATGAAAAGTAAATGTACTTTACCACGTCATTTAGCTTCCCAGGTTGATTTATATCTAAGTCTACGGGAGCAAATTGAAAGATGAAGTATTCTGCAAGTATATGGCATAAATATTTTAAATTTTAGAGCATGTATTTAAAAGGTGTAGAAATCAATGAAATTACTGAATAAATATCTGCTGAGGAAGAAGTTGAGACAGGAAAACATCCAGGGCAGCATAAGAATTGTTTCTAAATAGAAGTACATTTCAATAAAAACTCACCTCGCAGAATGTACTATTTGACTGGGGTCTATACTAATATAAGTGACCTTTCAGAGGGGAAAAGAGACAATTGAATCCATGTTGAAATATTTCTCGGCTGTCATTTTTTTTCTGTTCGTTTTGTCTTTTCTTCCTTCAAATTTGACACACTTAGCCCATAAGAATGTAAACCTACTATGTCCAATAGACTGACTTCATTTTTTCCCTGACTTTCAAGGCTGCAAAAGATTCTTTCAAAACTTGCTCAACAGAAAGTTGCAGCGTTTGTAAATCTATTTTGTTCTGGAAGGGTCTTCCTATTTCATTTCTAAGTGTGTCATTTTCCCTTGTAATGTTGGTTTCTCCATGAAACAAAATTTCTCATGGAAACATATAACTGCAGTGAAAGACAGATGTCCAATATAAATGGCACCTACATTCCTAAATCATCTCTCAAGCTTGGAAAATAATCCAAAATCATTTGACTATCATCATAAAATTCTTAGGCAAAAGCTATCTGAGACTGTATTGGAGGGAGTAAGGGAAAAGGGTGGGAAGTTAGGAGAGGTTGGTGGTAGAGGAAAAAGGCAGGGAAGACATCCCCCACTAGAATCTTTTTGGTGAGTACCTGCACAAGTGCAGAACAGAGCAGCATCTGTGATATTAAATTGCCTTCAGTTCACTCTTTTTTTGAGCCAAAAACATAGCATAGAGAATGTGGCGCACATAGGAGTGTCCCCAAGGAAGGCATAGTGGTGCTATAACACCACCACCTGACTTCAATTCTCCTGTCATACCTGAAAGGGTTGCAATCATGCACAGTCCACACTGTTTGTCTACCTAATTAATACTTGCTAAGGAAAACTTAGAAATGAATAACAAAATACAGTCACTAAAACTGTTTTGAAATGTTTGGTATTATTTTTAATGGATGATGACATTATTGAATATTTTTAAGGGAATAGAAGATTTTTCAATATGTTTTGTATTATTGTATGTTTCTAAGATTGTTTTATATTATTTCAAGAGAGTGGGTAGCTACTTAATAGTAATAGTTACTTAAGGAAGAATCAACCAACATTTAATCACTAGAAATCAAACACTGTTAATAAAATGCCCATCTAAGGGTTGTATTTGAAAAAGAGACTCCTGTTACCTGACCTCAGAGAAATTATTGGAGCAGATGCTTTATCCATCATCCAAATTGACAGAATATTTTAAATAAGTAGGTTGACCATTGAGCCATTGTATAGTTAACCTAAAAGAAATCTCCTCATTTGTAGAGCAGTTGATAAATTTGAATGCTCATTCACAACAATTCACAACTTGAAAATATTTACTCAAGTTGTGAATAAATATTGAATGCCTGCTGTGTAACTACTGTTTACATGCTTTAGATACACAAAATTTCAAACCAGGTTCTTGTCCTTCCAGAGTTTTTAATCATATGATATTATCATTTCACTTGATTTAAGGGCATAGAATTATTTAATTGTTGTTACAATTGAGACACGTCTTCTTTTTTTTTTTCTTGAGAGATTCGCGAGAATGCAAACTAAAAGTGGGGGGTGATTTTATTTTGTTAACCAGTGTCAAACAGTACATATTAGCAGCTCAATTAATATTTGTTGAACAATCAATTTTCTTAACAATGATGAACAATATTCCAGAGATTTTTCTTTTAAGGTCAGTATTCTTTGAAAACATAGCTGTAACGATTCATTAGGCACCCTTCTTGATGAATTACTGTAACCCTTGTTAGGTTGGCTCGCTCTACTTTTTATAAGGAAACTTGCAGATTACATGCCTAATCCCATAGTTATGAATCCAAGTGCTAACTTTGGTCAATACTACTAGGTAATTATAATGACCTAGAAGGAAAAGTATCATGTAATGAATCATATTAGCACTTGCAAATACCTTGGTATATCATGACAGAGAGCTGAATAGGTGATTGCCTGTTGAATTAAAGTGGCCCTTGACTCAAAAGAGCAGTTTCTGTTCCTATCAATTAATACCTCACTTTTTTGAGTTGTAATGGCTTACAGGTTTTGTTTTAGGTTTTTGGTGCTCTTTTTATGGCCCATATTACAATGCAAGAAACCCTGAGAGTGCCTACTTTTTAACAAACATTAGCAATTAACACCATACTGCTAAGACCCTAGAGGTAGGCAATAGTCCCCCTTTCTCTGTGGGGCTATGTTCCAAGATCCCCAGTGGATACCTGAAACCATGGATAGTAATGAAATATATATGATTTTTCTCTTATACATACATACCTATGATAAAGCTTAATTTATAAATTAGGCACAGTAAGATGAAAATATTAAAATAGAGTAATCATAAAAATGTACTATATTAAAGGTTATGTGAATGTGGTCTCTCTCAAAATATCTTATACTGTACTCACCTTTTCACTTGAAAGAAGTACTTTACAATTTCTCCTTGGCATATCTGAATTGCCAGCCTCACTACTCTTTTACTTTGGGACCATTATAAGAAGAATAAGGATTACTTGAACTCAAGGACAATGATGCCTCATCAGCCAATTTGATAATGGAGACAACTACTAATTCACCTACAGGCAGATAGCATATATAGTGTGGATATGCTGGACAAATGGATGATTCATGTCCCAGGCATGGTGGAATGGGAAAACATGATATCTCATCATGCTAATCAAAACAGTGCACAATTTAAAA